TTTTCTTTTCTTTTCTTTTCTTTTCTTTTCTTTTCTTTTCTTTTCTTTTCTTTTCTTTTCTTTTTTTTCTTTCCTTTCCTTTCCTTTCCTTTCCTTTCCTTTTCTTTTTTTTAAGAATCCAAGAGGCAGCACATTTATTCTGGGCTCTAGGGGAGAGCTCCCTGAATTTCATTCCTACTCGTCATCACCAGTGACATGAGGACAGATCTTGGGCCCGCCAAGGCCCTGTGGTCCCTTCGATGCTTCCTTTCTTTTCTCACGTTTGTCTCCCTCTGAGCCTGTCTGTTCCACACTGGGGGTGGTGCTCTGGGGAGCAGATGGCTTTCTAAGACCTGGCCTCTGCCCTGGAGTTACTCCCAGCCTAGGCTGAGGCACAGACACAGGGCGGCAGAGCCTGGGGGCTGGTGGTAGGGTGCAGCTGACCAATGGCTGTCCTCAGAGATGGAGACGCTGGGGTCCTGCTGGGTGTGAGGGGAGCCCTGAGGTCTTTATCTTACCAGATGTGGGCCTGCCTCCCCTGGCTGTCACCCTCACTATCCCAAAGGGCCCCTTTCTGCCACCCGGGGTATTCAAGGCAAAACTCCTTTTTTTAAAAAAAACTTTTTTCAATGTTTATTTATTTCTGAGACAGAGAGAGACAGAGCATGAGTAGGGGAGGGGCAGAGAGAGAGGGAGACACAGAATCGGAAGCAGGCTCCAGGCTCCAAGCTGTCAGCACAGAGTCCGACACGGGGCTCGAACTCACAAACCGTGAGATCATGACCTGAGCCGAAGTTGGTTGCTCAACTGACTGAGCCACCCAGGTGCCCCAAGGCAAAACTCCTTTAACGGGCAGACTTCTTTCTCTGCCGTTGGGGCTTCTGCTGGGCAGTTGTGGTGACACTCCTGAGCCTCATCGCAGAGGCCCCTGGGGGCAAGGGGAAGAGCCAGCTGACCTAGAACAGGCCCCTTTCTCTGATGGAGACAGTTAGCAGCTGGGGTGTAATGTGATGTCATGAGGGGGTGAGTACTCATCTCAGGATCTTCAGGCCTCTGCTTAGAATCCTCTGCCCCTAGGGAAGGGGGTGGGGTGGGAAGCGTGGGCATGAGTGTCTGTGAACCTCAGGGCCTTTCTGCAGCTTTCCCCAGGTCTGTGGGTGTGGGCATTCTGCACGTGTGGGTGTCTGCCCCACTAGACAGGGACCTTCACGAGGTCAAGGCCCATATCTGTCCATCCTTTTCAGTCTACTTTCTGGCACAGTGCTGGGATGAAAGCACCATTTAAGGAGTGATTCTGTGCGTCCGCGAACGTGTTTTCCCCACACTGGTCTTTGTTCTCCCAGGGGCGGATCCTCTTGTCTTATCCTATACATCCACGTCTCTGTGAATGGGTGGGTCCGTGTTTGTGTCCGTGTGAGTGTGACCGTTCTCTGAGCGTGTGTCCCCTGTGTGCGTAGCTGTGCATGGGTGTGACCTTCAGCAGCCACCCCCAGCTAACCTGGCTGATGCTCACCAGGACCCTCCCCCCGGCACCACCGCCTGGAGCCCATGGATACCATCTTTGTCAAGAATGTGAAGGATGATGGCCCCGCCCATAGAGCGGGCCTTCGCACCGGTGAGCTGTCCTTCTCTGGGTCTCTTCCACCTGCTCTCTGGTTAGGATGGGATTCTCAGATCCAGGTGTTGGGGAAGGCCCTGTCCTGGCGCTGTCATCCATGCCTGGTGCAGGGGTTCTCAGGAGGGGCCATGGTCACCCGTTGGCCTGCTCACATGTGGTTCTGCCCCCTCTTTCCCCAGGAGACCGGCTGGTGAAGGTGAACGGGGAGAGCGTCATTGGGAAGACCTACTCCCAGGTCATAGCTCTGATCCAGAATAGGTGAGTGCCCCCTGCCTCCCTTCTCCTGTAATAGCTCCCAGCACGCTCATTGAGTCCCTGCACACCACCCCCTTGACCCTGGGGTTGCCCTGGCGACCAGGATCCCTGTTCTCCCAGACCCTGTTGCCTCAGCCTGGCCTGACCCCCTGCCCTGTCTCTGTAGCGATGATACCCTGGAGCTCTCCATCATGCCCAAGGACGAGGACATCCTCCAGCTGGTGAGTCCTGCCCTGCTGTCTGAGGCGGAGGGGCCCTGGGGCCTGGGGGCGGGATACGTCTCTCCTCCTTGGGGCCTCCCTTCTGCCTTCGGGAGGCAGAGAAGAGTGTAGGGCGCCGCACCAGTCCGGCACTGCCCAATCAGGGATGCCAGGCCCATCCCTGGGCTGGGGCCGGTTGTTGCTTCATTCAGGGCTGCTCTGTGCTGGGGGAGGGGGAGGCGCTGGCCTTGGCAGGCAGGATTCCTGCCACAGTATCTGGAAGGAGGGTGGCCCAGCGGGCCCTGCCAGACTGGCACGTTCTTGTCGGCTCCCAAGAGACTGTTCTCCACACCCCCTCCCTGCCTGGCCCCGAGTGAGCATGTCTTCTGTAGCTGTGTCCACACACACACACACACACACACGCAGACTTACACACGCCTACGTATGCTATCTTTCTGTGCACACCGACCCCAGGCCTGTCCCAGAGCCCAGGGCAGTCCTCTCTGCCCAGTGTCCAATTTCCTGATCTCATGGGTCTTAGCCAGATGCCAGCTTGCTTGCCCCCAAGGTCACTGCCCCCCTGGGGGAAGGCCGAGGGCCAAACCCAGGAGGCCCTGGGAGCCGGGCTGGCTTCTGCCCTGGATGTGCTCTCATAATCACTGTAATCACGGTGCCATGCTTGGCACCCTGCCCCTCTGGGAACCTCCACCCTCTGACCTGGATTGTCCCCTTGCCCTTCCTGGGGAGGGGGAGGTAAGCGTGGAGGCCCAGAGAGGTGGATGGCTCTCCACAAGTCTCAAAGGCCCTGCGGGTACACTTCCCCCAGGCCGAGGCAAGGAAAAGCCAGGAGGGGGTGACAGGGCGGGATCTAAGGCTGCCCTCCATCTCTCCAGCCGGAGGAGGAGGAGGGGGGCAAGGGGTGGGGAGAGCAGCGGCCTTGAGCTCTGTTACCGGGGTTCGAGGTTCGGGTGGGCTGGCGGCCCCAGATGTCAGCCTCTGGGGCCCTCCGCTGGCCCCCTCCATCCTAGGCCAGCCAGAGGGTGGGGCCCAGGCATTCCTGTGGTTGCGAGCCAAGGCTGGAGGCCAATGGGGCCGCGGCAGCTGCTGACGCCACCGCCGACGCGGCGAGGCCCCTCCACACCCATCTTCCCCTCCCTCCTCCTCCCGCCAGCCAGCCGCTGAGAGAGAGAGAGAGAGAGAGAGAGAGAGAGAGAGAGAGAGCGCGCGAGCGCGAGCCGGTGGAGGGCCGAGGGCAGCCGCTGGGAGGGCAGACTGGGGGTGGAGGACAGAGGTGGGGCCAGCACAGTGGTCAGTGGGGGTTCACCCCCCGGCCAGGGAAGGCGGAGGCTGGCCACGATGCTGTCGCCAGCGCCTCCGCCGCCGTGGTGATGCGGGGAGCCTGGGGAGCCGGCAGGATGGCAGGAGGGAGAGGTATGTGAGTGTCCCCCGGCTGGGTGTGTGGGTCCGAAGGGGGCTGAGTGTGAGTATGGGGGGTGTGGTCTAACTTGTCCTCATCACATGATGTGTGTGCCTGGGACTGGAGGTGTAGTTTATATGTGTCTCATTGTGTTTCGCTCTGTGTGTGTGTGTGTGTGTGTGTCTTTGGGTGTGTATTTTCCAGTATCTCCTTGTGGTGTGGCACGCACATGCGCGTGCGCGTGGGAGCGTGTGTGTGTGTGTATGTGTGTATTGTGTTTCACTCTCCCACCCTTTGATACTTCACCCTGAGAGACGCCCCTGGGCACCCATCAAGGGCCAGGCTAGGCCAGGGCCACAAGGCCTCTGTCCCTAGGGGCTGCCTCCTTTTTTGGCTGGGCCTGGGCACCGGCCCTGTCACTCCTCAGCAATGCAGCGTCAGCCTCGGCTCCCAGTGCCAGATTCCAGGCCTGGGGTGGCAGAAGGTGGCCTGAGGCCCCTTAGACGGTCCGGCCCCACCCCCAAGCCTGGCCCAGAGGGAGCAAGAGGTGGGCAAGTTTCTCTTCACTCCGGAGGCCTAGGAGCCAGGCCCTGGCTCCCCGTCCCCTGGATGGAGGGACGGCGGGGCTTTCCCAGCCCCCGCCCACCCCCAGCCCACCCCGCCGTGGACACACCCCTTGGTCAGCTGCCGTCTCTGTCTTCTGCCACCTTGACTGGTCTCTGGTGGGTTTTCCCAGCCCAGCCCGGGGGGCTGTGGGCACTGTTGGATGTAAGACAGCAGGGAGGCGGCTGAGGCCAGCATGGGGGAGGACCCCAGAAAACAGATGTTGGAATGTTTGTGGCTACAGGCAGTCCTTGTCATAAGTCTTAGAGAAATCCTGGCTGTTTCTCTAGTGAGAGAGAGAGAGGGAGAGAGAGAGAGAGAGAGAGACAGTGAGAGAGTGTGTGTGTGTGTGTGTGTGTGTGTGTGTGTGTGTGTATGTGTGTGTGTGTGTGTGTGACTCTCAAAGGCCTCTAATTTCTTTGTTCTCTCCCTCCCTCCCCCCGACTCTCTTTGGAGCATGCCTTCCGGCTCCCACCCACTCAGGGCCCCCCTGCCGCTTGGTCCTTTCCCTCAGTCCACTTCTCTAGGGTCCTGATCTCCCAGGGCTGATGTAACTCCGCCCTGTGGGACTTGTCCAGCCCTGCTCACCTGCCTCTGTGTCCCCGGCCAGGCCTACTCCCAGGATGCCTACCTGAAGGGGAACGAGCCGTATTCTGGAGAGGCCCGGAGTATCCCAGAGCCGCCTCCGATCTGCTACCCTCGCAAGACTTACGCCCCGCCAGCCCGGGTCTCCACCTGGGCCACTATGGTGCCTGAGCCCCTCTCAGCACTGCCCAGTGACCCCCGGAGTCCTGCCGCCTGGAGTGACCCGGGGCCCCGCGTCCCTTCTGCCACCCGTACCCATCCGGACAACTCTTCCTTGGGGATGAGCCAGCCCCGCCCCAGCCCTGGTGCCTTCCCCCGCCTCCCCTCGGAGCCCCGGACGCCCCGTGCCTTTCCTGAGCCTGGCAGCCGGGTGCCCCCCAGCAGACTGGAGTGCCAGCAGGCTTTGTCACACTGGCTGTCAAACCAGGTACCCCGCAGGGCGGGGGAGAGACGGTGTCCTGCCATGCCCCCCCGGGCCCGCAGTGCCTCCCAGGACCGGTTGGAGGATGTGACTGCCCACCGCCCATGGCCCTGCTCCACCTCCCAGGGTGCCTTGAGCCAGTTGGGTCAGGAGGGCTGGCACCGAGCTCGCTCAGACGACTACTTGAGCCGGGCCACCCGCTCAGCCGAGGCGCTGGGTCCAGGAGCACTGGTGTCACCCCGTTTCGAGCGCTGTGGCTGGGCTTCCCAGCGTCCGTCTGCCCGCACCCCTGCCTGCCCACCCAGGGACCTTCCTGCGCCCCAGGCCCCACCCCCGCCTGGTCTGCAAGGCCTGGATGACATCGGCTACATCGGGTACCGGAGCTACAGCCCATCATTCCAGCGCCGGACTGGCCTCTTGCACGCGCTCTCCTTCCGGGACTCACCCTTCGGGGGGCTACCCACCTTCAACTTGGCTCAGTCCCCTGCATCGTTCCCGCTGGAGGCCTCCGAACCACCCAGGGTTGTGCGCCCAGAACCCAGCACCCGGGCTCTGGAGCCCGCCACCGAGGATCGCCGCGACGAGGTGGTCCTGAGGCAAAAGCCTCCCACGGGCCGGAAGGTCCAGCTGCCCTCCGCAAGACAGATGAACCTTGGGTTTGGTGAAGAGTCCCCAGAGCCAGAGTCCAGTGGGCGAGTGGAACGCCTGGGCAGGAAGGTGGCCCCTTTGGCCACTACTGAAGACTCTCTGGCTTCTATCCCCTTCATTGGTGAGTGACAGTAGAGGTGACTGTCTTGGGAGACTGGGTCATCTGTGCCCTGTTTTACCCCACCCACCTGTCAACCATGGGCAAAACTCTGGGTTGAGTGCCGATTTCTCTGTTTGTCCGTCTGTCTGTCCATCCATCCGTCCTTTTGTTCTCTCCTGCATCCTGTCACCCTTCCTTTCATTCATTTCTCCCCCAGCCGTCTTTCTTTCCTCCCTCCCTCCTTCCTTTCATCCTTCATCCACCCGTCCGCCCACCCATCCATCACTTCTCTTCTTTTCCTCCTCCCTTGCTTCTTCCTCCCTTTGTTCATTCATTCTTCCTTCTCGTCTTCCATCATTCTTTCTTTTCATCCTTCCTTCCACCCTGGCTTTCTTCTATCCTTCCTTTGTTCCTTTTACTTTTTGTTCCTTCCACCCACCCTCCACCCATCCATTCATCCAACAAATATTTGTGTCAGGCGCCGTGCTAGGCTTCAAGCTCTTCTGGAGCGTGTGGTCCAGCAGCCGGACAGATGATCGGACAAGAACAACCCCATGGTGTGTGTGTGTGTGTGTGTGTGTGTGTGTGTGTGTGTGTGATGGGAGTACAGGGGACTCTAGGAGACAGAGAAGGGTGACATGGTCCAGACTGGGGCGTGGTAGCCAAGGAAAGAATCTTAGAGGAAGGAGATTAGGGCTAAGATTTAAAGGATGAGAAAGAGTTAGGGGGAGAACGTAAAGGGAGAGAATAGAATATGCCAAGAACCCTGACGTGAGAGAGGAGGGTGCCTTTCGAGGTTGCCAGAAAGGGTCCAGAGGGGCTGTGTCAGTCTCTGGGGAGTTGGGGACGTTATCCTGAGAACAGAGGGGACACTGAGAGTTTGCTGCCTGTGGAACAGATGTTGGATAAGGGAGAGGCAAGAGAGAGGAGAGACAGGGTGGTTCCCAGGTTTCTGGTCTACCTAGAGGATTGTGCCTCACCCCTACATCGGGAATGAGAGTGGGGCAGGAAAAGGTTTAAGGTTTGCTGACTGTGTCTATGAGGGTGCAGGATAGGCTGGGCTGGGTCTAGGGGCTTGAGATAAAGACCAGATACAAGATCATGAGACTGGGACCAGAAGTGGAGCGACAGTACCTGGAACTGAGCAGGGTGAGCTCACCCTATGGTGGTCATGGGAGTGAGGGAGAAGAGGCCAGGCCAGACCCAGCCCTGGCCTCCCCTGGTCAGCTTTCGGTCAGAGTGGGCAGACACAGCGTCAGTAATTTCCCAGTGTGAGGGGGAAACGTAGCGCCTGCCCTCAGGGAGCCCCCAACTGACGGAGGAGACAGTCCTTATCCTCAAGAGACCCCCGGTCTGGTGGGGGAGATAGTCCAAAGCTCTCAGGAGCCCAGTCCAGGGAGGGTGGCTCAACCTCAGGCCTGGGTGTGAAGGAGGAGGCAGGGGCGGAGCCTCCATGCTCACAGTCTGGGGATGGGGGGGCCCTTGGCCACGGGCGTATTGCCAGCAGGGCCTCGGAGGACCTGAGCCTTGGGCACGTGGTCTGGGCCAGGACGCGAGGCTGGGGGCGGGGGGCAGGCAGGTTTAGCTTTCTGCCACCTTTATCCACCACTCCCCTCTGCTTGCAGATGAACCCACCAGCCCCAGCATTGACCTCCAAGCCAAGCATGTCCCTGCCTCCGCTGTGGTCTCCAGCGCCATGAACTCAGCCCCCGTCCTGGGCACCAGTCCATCCTCCCCAACCTTCACCTTTGCCCTTGGCCGCCATTACTCCCAGGACTGCAGTGAGTGCTCCCTGAAGCCCTTGCCCCGTCCTTTCCCTGGCTGCCTGGTCCTCAGGGGTCTCTGCTGGGCTTGCTGCCTGATGTATGGCCTCTTCTTGCCGGCTTCTGCTACTCCAGGGGCCCCGTGGGTGGTCACCTCCTGGCCCTGCCCAGACAGGAGGGCTCCAGGGAAGCCCTGGTCCTCCTGCTGACCCTGTGGGTGGCTTTGCAGGTAGCCTCAAGGCCGGCCGCCGCTCCTCCTACCTGCTGGCCATCACCACAGAGCGCTCCAAGTCCTGTGACGATGGGCTCAACACCTTCCGGGAAGAGGGCAGGGCTCTGAGGTGAGGACAGCGTGTGGCCGTCACAGCCACCCTGACTGGGCTGGGACGGGGCTCTCAGCCCTGGTGTCCTCTATGCCGCCCAGGCAATGAGCTCCCTCCCTGGAAGGCTTCTCAGCCTTGGGATTTGAGGAGAAGTCCTAGCTGTGCTTCCTACCTCCCTCACACTCAGTTCTCACTCGCCAGGCGCCTGCCAAACCGAGTACCCAGCCTGCGGATGCTGCGAAGCTTCTTCACTGATGGGGTGAGTGGTGAGCGTGTGCGGGCGAGAGTGTCCGGGGAGCTGGGGAGGGACCGATGCCTCGGCTGTGGAGCCCCGTCTTGGGGTGGGTTTCTAGGCCTCTGGCTCCCAGGGCGGGAAGTGGTGTACTCTGGCTCCTGTGTCCCTCCCCCACCCCACCCCCAACCCTGTAGGTGATCCCCTGGTGTCACCTATATGGGCTGTGTCATCACTTAAAGACACCCGCACCCTCCACCCACCCAAGGCCTCGGTCCGTATCGTTCCCCCACTTAGAATGCCCTTTCCACACACTCCCCTCCACAGCCACATGACTCACCTTTTAATTCCTTTTTTTTTTTAATTTTAATTTTTTACATTTGTTTATTTTTAAGAGACAGAGAGGGACAGAGCATAAGCGGGGGAGGGGCAGAGAGCGAGGGAGTCACAGAATCCGAAGCAGGCTCCAGGCTCTGAACTGTCAGCACAGAGCCCGACGTGGGGCTCGAACTCCCAAACCGTGAGATCATGACCTGAGCCGAAGTCGGATGCTTCACCGACTGAGCCACCCAGGCGCCCCTCACCTTTTACTTTCTTCGGGTTTATCTCCACCTTTTCTGAGATTTTAGCCTTCACCCCTGACATGTGATGCCTATTTTCTCCTTAGCACTTCTCATGTGATACAGTTTATGCACCTGTCCCCTCTCTTGCTTGTCTCCCAGATAGAATGTAAGCTCTGTGAGGGCAGGGATTTCGTTTTGTTTGCTTGCTCCCTGTGGGTACCAAAAACTGCCTGCACAGGGTGGCCTGGGGCAGTATTTGTGTGGTGTCTTCAGGGGAGGGGGGACACTAGAAAGGAGGGGGACACAGGACTGAGAGTGATGGACAGGCTGGAGTTTCCAGGCTCAGACCCTGGGGAGACGTGGGGTCAGTTCTGAAATGGCCTTAACTCTTCGTGATTACAGGTAGACTAGAAAAGCCACTTGATTTCAAACCCTCGGTATCTTTGGTTCATTTAACACCTTGAGGATATTGTCACCTGGCTTATTCCTTATCGCTTCCTCTGCTTACTTAACTCTCCCTTGACCTGTCACTTCTGTTGCTGGAGTCGTGTTGACACTATCACTTCCTCTGTTTAACTCCTTGTGGACATGACTACATGCTCCACTAACTCAGCCTTTGTTGATGTTTCCACTTCCTCTGTTTATTTAACTCCGTGTTGTCACAATCACTTCCTTTGTTTCCTTAGTTGCTTCAAGTCCATAAAATTAAAGGAGGTACCAGATTGGCTTTTCTAGCGTGGTGAGACATGTGGTCGGCAGGTCATAGCCTTTCTTCCTTTCTGGCTTCCTCGGCACGTACGTCCCATGACCTCAGCGCGGTGGTTCAGAGAGGGCAAGCGGGGCCTGTGAGGCCACACAGCACAGCAGAGCGTAGCCCAGGCATCCACCAGGCCCGCGTGGCTGTGCGAGGTCCATGGGCCTTCTGGTGTGCTGGCACCGTGGGAGCCCCCCTAAGTTGCCCTCCGTTGTGTCCCTGCAGTCCTTGGATAGCTGGGGTACTTCCGAAGATGCTGATGTTCCTTCTAAGCGACACTCAACCTCTGACCTCTCGGACGCAACCTTCAGCGATATCAGGAGAGAAGGCTGGTTGTGTTATAAGCAGGTCCTCACCAAGAAGGGGAAGGTAAGGTGGTTGGCAGCCTGAGGTGGAGGTGGATGGATGCTGTCTCCGGCAGAACTCTCCGGCTTTTATACCCGCCCCACAGCCTCTGGAGCCAGAGGGAACCAGCTGAGGCTGTAGCCTGAGGGGTAGAGGTTAGATGTTAGGAAGAACTTCCTGGGGGGCATAAAGAACTCACGAACAAGAGGGGTTAACCAGAGAGGTCGTCTCTGCTGCTGTGGGAGGGATCTGGTCAAACTGTGCCTGGAATTCTGACAGAACCATCCCACAGTGATCCTTGGTTGGCTGATCGCCCCAGAAAGGGTCACTGGGGGCTCACGGAAAATGAGGGAGCAAGGCCAGGGTGATTCTTTCGGAGGAGCTGAGACCCCAAAAGAAGACAGACGTTAGCCTTTTCGGGGCCTTGCGGGGCCAGCAAAGCTTTTAGTCTTTATCCCAAGAGCCACTGAAGCCCCTGGGGTCTCTTTCATTTGGCTTCCTGGGGAATGAATTAGAGAGGGGCCCCGGCTGGGGCCGGCTGGAGGCAGGAGGACCAATTAAGGGCGACCACAGCGACGGCTGGGCATGCAGGTGGCAGGGGGAGACAAACAGGATCCCAGAGCGAGGAGGCCGGGGCCCTGGGTCCACGGAGGCGACGCGGCCCGGGCGAAGCTGAGCGGAGCGATTAGCATCGACCTGGGCTTGGCCCTTGCCTGCATCATGAATTGCCCGGGGGAAGCTTGGGTGACTCACCCGCCTATGACTCAGTTTCCTCGTCTGTAAATAGAGCTAACAACAATCCCTAGCATATACACCTGTTGCTGAGGATTAAACGAGATGATCTCAGCAAAAGTGCACCCAGTGCCTGGCACGGGGAGCTGCTAGTCCTCTGCTACTAGTTGAATTTTCCACCCCGCCTTCTGGGGGTCTTGTACCTGGAGAGAATGTAAGCTTTGAAGTCAGACAGACTGGGAGCTCCTGCCCAGCCACTTATCCAGCATATGGTTTTGGGCAAGCCCCTTAACCTCTGTACCTCACTCTTCTGATCTGTAATGTGGGGACAGTGCCATTCTACGTCCCGGGCTGGTGGGAGGTGAAGTGAGATGTATGGGCCAGGTGGGGCTGGCATCCATCTGTGCCCTCATCCAGTCCACGATAATGACCGAGTGCCTGCCATGCTCCCGATTCTCGGTCGAGGTTCTGGGTATTTAGTGGTGTGGGAGGCAGGCCATCCCGCCCCGCTGGGGCTCAGGACAAGCAGAGGAAGCACCCGGTGCATAATAGTTGCCAGCCCACGACTGTCAGGACTGGAGAGCTGAGCCGAATGGCACGCAGTAGGTGACCCCGGCCTAGGTGGGGTTGGGGGAAGGTGTCGGGGAGGCTGTGACATGAAGGGTGTGTGAGAATCCACAGAACAGGGAGGGGGTGGGAAGTGCTCTGACAGTGGAGATGCCCTCCTGGATGGTCTGGGAGAAAGGAACAGAGGGCGTGCTGGGTGGTCGCGAGCCAGGTGAGAGGTAGAAGCCGAGGTGGGGAGTCAGGTGCCTGCTTCGGGACCTCATCACCCAGGGCAAGCCTTTGCAGGGGTTTAGATAGGGATGGGAGGTGTGTAAGCCCAGGAGGCAAGGATCACATCTGTGATAGGAGGTGACAATGCCATTGCCGCTGTCCAGGTGAGCGAGGGCGAGGGCTCTAAGGTCGTGGCATGGGGCGGAGGGAAAGGGACAATTTAGAGACACTGAGGGACCGATGGGTTTGGCTTGCTGATGGCTGGGAGGTGAGGGAGGGTGGAGGAGGCAGATGATGGCTGCGGGGGCGATGGGGCCTTCCCTTGAGCCACAGGGCACTGGAGGGGCAGGTTGGTGAGTGGAAGCCAAGGGTTCCTTTGGGGACTTGTGGAGTCCAAGGGCCCTGGGTCATGCCCCGGTGGGGGTGTCCTGGGTTCAGAGGCTCTAGGGCTGTGGCACCCGGGAGGGAGTCTATCAGGGTGTGCACTTGTAGCCACAGGTGTGGGAGCACTGAGGGAGAAGGCGAGAGACTGGCTGCACCTTGAGAGGAAGTGGGGAGAGCAGACCAAAGAGGAAAGCCAGCAAGATGGCAGGAGGGGTTGCCTAGGAGGGCAGCAGGGGCCAGCTGTGTGAGCTGAGGAAGGGGAGATGAACCCTTCCAGCCCCAAGTTTGAGCTCCTCTGAGGGCCAGGGGAGAACTGCTGACTCCGGCCTGCGAGGTGGCCCATCTCCCAGCTCTGGATGGCCCCAGGCAGCCGCACCACAGTGTCTCCCAGGCAGGGACGGGAACTGGGCCCTTCCTGCTCACTGACCGGTACCGGAGGACAGGGGCTTCCACTCCTGGCTTGGCCAGGACCCGATTTCACTTGTCCCCTCGGTGCTGTGGCCTGGGAGTTAGGAGAGGGGTCATTAAGTCAGCTTCGGGCCCTTAGTCTGTCCAGGGAACTGATGTCCAGCCGGATGTTGTCCACTCTGGCAAGTCTAGCCTCTCCCGGGTAACCCCCACCCAGCCTCCAGGCTCTTTCAGAGACCATTCGCTGTCGGGCAGAGGGAGGTAGGTGTGACAGGTCCCTGCAGTCACAGATCTACCATTTGAGCAGGATGTAACCCTGGGAACTGGCTAGTTCACCTTTCATTTACCTGTAGGGAACACTGATGCCAAGGGAGGGGGCTTGACTTGTCCAAGGTCACCTAGTTGGTTCGGTCTCAAAGGGTCACCTTGTTGGGGCGCCTGGGTGGCTCAGTCGGTTAAGCGTCCGACTTCGGCTCAGGTCATGATCTCACGATCCGTGAGTTCGAGCCCCGAGTCGGGCTCTGTGCTGACAGCTCAGAGCCTGGAGCCCGTTTCAGATTCTGTGTCTCCCTCTCTCTCTTCCCCTCCCCTGTTCATGCTCTGTCTCTCTCTGTCTCAAAAATAAATAAACATTAAAAAAAAAAAATTAAAAAAAAAAAGGGTCACCTTGTCACCCCCCTCACTCTGACATAAGAAATTCCCCTGGAGGGGCGCCTGCGTGGCTCAGTGAGTTAAGCATCTGATTCTTGATTTCGGCTCAGGTCACAATCTCATGGTCGTGAGATCGAGCCCCGAGTCGGGCTTTGTGCTGAGCTTGGAGCCTGCTTGGGATTCTCTCTCCCTTTCTCTCTGCCCCTCCCCACTTGCACGCCCACTCTCTCTCTCTCAAAATAAAAATATGAACATGAAAACAAATTCCCCTGGAGGGTCATGTCATTTCCTGCTCTGACAATCCTGTCTGGGTCCAGCAGGTCTGTGGTGGTGGCCAGGGCTCATGGTCAGATGTGGCCGTGTTACCCACCAGCCACGGAGTTTCCTCATCTGGCTCGTTCTGAGGGCAGAGGCCCCTGTTGGATGAGTGGTAGGTAGGCCACCGGTGCAAGGAAGGGAGCCCTGGGCCTGATGGGGGAGAGCCTCTGCCCTCAGGGTGCTCTGAGGATGATTAATTCATTAATTCATTTCTTCAATAAATATTGATGAGCACTTACCCTACGCCTGTGGAGGCTGTAGGCTCTTGGCTAAGGATGTGAGAGGACAGACCAGTTCCTGGCCCCCAGGAGCTTCCCATTTACTGGAGAAATCTGCAACCAGCATTAAGCGGAGGTTACAGTAAGCACTCAGGGAAAATGAACAGGGTGATGTGAATTGCCTTTAATTCTGGAGGTAGCAGGGAGCTGCCTTTATTAAAAAAATGGTCAGTGGGGACTCCCGGGTGGCTCAGTCGGTTGAGCGTCTGATTCTTGATTTCAGCTCAGGCCATGATCTCACGGTTCGTGAATTCGATCCCCTTGTTGGGCTCTGTGCTGGCGGTGTGGAGCCTGCTTGGGATTCTCTCTCTGCCCCTCCCCAACTCATGCACGCTCTCCACTCCCCCCACCTCCCCCACCCCCCGCCTCAAAATAAATAAATAAATGTTTTTTTTAAAAAAAGAAAAAAAATGGTCAGCGAAGTCCTCACTGAGGAAGTGACGTTTGTGACATTTGATCTCAGATCTAAAGGGCAAGAAGGAAGCCACATGGAGAAGTGAGGGAAGGGGCTCTGGCCAGAAGGGACAGCAAGAAAGAACAAAGGCCCCAAGAAAGGAAAGGGTTGGCTTGTTCACTAGAGAAGGGCCCCTGTGTCTTGACACAGCGAGAAAGAAGTCGGTGGAGAAGCTGAGTTTGGAGGGGGAGAGACACATCATGAAAGTTCTTGGGTTTGATTCCAGTGGCGGTGGGAACCTACCAGGGAGTGCTATGCAGGGGAGAGACACCATCTCGCTTACATTTTAAAATGGTGGCTGCAGGGGCGACTGTCTGACTCAGTGGGTAGAGTGTGTGACACTGGATCTCAGGGTCGTGAGTTTGAGCCCCACGTTGGCACAGAGATTACTTAAAAAAAAAAAAATGGTGGCAGCTGTGGGGTGGAGAGTGGATTGCAGGAGATGAGGGTGGGGACTGGGAGGGTTTGTGTAGTTGTCCAGGTAAGAGGTGTTGGTGATATAGACAAGGTGGTAAATATCGGGAAAAGGTGGAGACAGGTGGTATTTTGGAAGCAGCACAGGTATGACTTCCTGATGGGTTGGATGTCAAGGGTGAGGAAGGAGGGGGGGGGGTCAAGGGCAAGTCCTAGTTTTCTGGGCAACTGGGTAGATGTGTTGAGCTGGAGAAGTTGGGGAGGGCTGTGGAGGAATAAGTTTGGTGACAAAAATCAAGTACCCCGTGGAGTGCCTATGAGACATGCACATGGGGACACTGAGTAGGCAGTGGGAGGTGCAGGACTGTGGCTGGGGGGGGGGGGAGGGGGGAGGATGCTGGACTAGGGATACGTTTGGGAATCCCCATCAGTAAACAGATGGGATTTAAAGCCACAGGTGTGGATGACATCACAGGAGAGACATTCAGGGAAAGGGGAGCCCAGGGCAAAGTTCTGGAGCTCCCCCTCCTGTAGGGCAGGGGCTTAGCCTCCGCTCTAGAGTCATGTGGGGCCCCATGATTCTTTGTTGTGGGGGGCTGTCTTGGCCATCGGGGCGTGTTTAGCAGCACCCTTGGCCTCTACCCACTAGACGCCATAGCACGTCTCCAGGTGTGACGACTGAAAATATCTCCAGATAAATGTCCTCTGGGGACCATTCGCTCCAGTTGAGAACCGCTGATGAGAGCATGTTGGGGGGGGGGGGGGGGGGGGGGGGGGGGGAGAAAACCAATGGAGGAGACTGAGAAGGAGCCAGTGGAATGAGGAGGAAAACCAGGAACCACGGGGTCCCGGATGCCAAGAGAGGGCTTGGAGAAGGAAGGAGCTTCAGGCTAGTAACGTGCCTCAGAGAGGCTAAGGAAAAGGCCAGGCCGGACGGAGAAGCTGCTTCGGCAGCACGAGGGGCCAGAGTGACCTTATGAGTGGCCTCTGAGACCAGGATACAGAGTAGAGTCTTGAACGAGGGGCAGACAAGCTGGGAGAGCAGGTGCGGTGGGGAATTCTTGATCAGTTTGCTGTGCAGGGGGCAGTGTGTGGACTTAGGAACGGCTTTACAAGGATTTTATGTAAGGTGGGCTAGGCTGGGTGAGGGCCTCGCTGCTGCTGTGGGGGCATTGCTGACCAGATGCTGTTGATGCTAGTATTTTTTTTTTTAATGTTTATTTTTGAGAGAGACAGAGACAGAGTGTGAGCGGGGGAGGGGCAGAGAGAAAGGGAGACAGAATCTGGAGCAGCCTCCAGGCTCTGAGCCAGCTGTCGGTACCGAGCCTGACGCTGGGCTTGAACTCACGAACTGCGCGATCATGACCTGAGCCGAAGTGGGAGGCTTCAACTAACTGAGCCACCCAGATGCCCCGTTGATGCTAGTATTGATTGATTGATTGATGGATTGATTTTTGAGAGCGCGAGAGAGAACTGGAGCAGGGGAGGAGCAGAGAGCGAGGGAGACAGAGGATCTGACGAGGGCCTCACCAGCTGTGAGATCGCGACCTGAGCCGAAGTCGGATGCTAGTGTTTAAAGATGCTGGTGTTTAAAGGAAGGTTGGGGGACTGAGAACGGTGGGTAGGGGTGTCCAGGCAGGTAAGGGGCTGGGCAGGAGGGTGGGGCAGGGGGCTCCTGGCCGTGGGGCGGGGTCCCCACTGCTGTGGCCGCCTGCAGCTCCCGGGGCCCCCTCGCGCTGTGGGGGCGGGGAGGGCAGGCCCCGCCTCTCACACCCTCCCCCTTCCCGTGTCTCTCCCCCCCCCCCCCCCCCACCGTGTCTCCCTGCAGAAAGCGGGCGGCGGCCTGCGCCAGTGGAAGCGGGTCTACGCCGCGCTGCGGGCGCGCTCCCTCTTGCTGAGCAAGGAGCGGCGGGAGCCCGGGCCGGCGGCGGCGGCGGGGGCGGCGGCGGCCGTCGCAGGTGAGGACGAGGCGGCGCCCGTCTGCATCGGCTCCTGCCTGGTGGACATCTCCTACAGCGAGACCAAGAGGAGGCACGTGTTCCGGCTGACCACCGCTGACTTCTGTGAATATCTCTTTCAGGCTGAGGACCGGGATGACATGCTGGGCTGGATCAGAGCGATCCGAGAGAACAGCAGGGCCGAGGGCGAGGTGAGGGCCCGGCCGCCCACCAGGGCTGGGGTGGGGCGGGGCGGGGCGGGGTGGGGGTGGGGGTGCAGGGAGGCCCCAGGGCCGTCCCTCCCCTGCCGCGGACCTCGCTTCGCCGCTCTGAGCCTCAGTTCCCTCCTCCATAAAATGGGCCAACAGGGGGTACCCCCTGCAGCCCTACGTGCCGGGGCTTTGGCGTGAAGAGAAAATACAGACAGCGGCTCCCGGAGCCCTCGGCACCCTCAGTGCTCCCTGGCCGGCAGGAACACTAATAACTATAGGGAGGGCACGAATTATTATCGTTATTATCATTATTATTACTGCCTTGGGCAGGCTGTGGCACAGAGAGGTCAGCTCCCGGCCAATCTTAGGTCTTGCTTCAGAAAGCCGGGGTTTCTTATGGAGTGAATTACAGAATGCGGTGCCCCTGTTCCAGAACCGTGGCTGGCCCTTCTGACAGGGCTGGCCTGTCAGCAGGGCACCAACACATTGACCTTGGGAGGAGGCCAAGAGGATTGGCCTTTGGCAGCAGGCTGCGCTGGTTGAGCCAAAGGCTTTGGCAGGGATTTCAGGGTAGTTTCTCAATGGCGCCCCCTCTTGGGCAGCTGCAGCCGCACGCCCAGAGCCGGGGCTGACATTTCTGTCTCACTTGCCCGCCCCCCTCCAGCAGGAGCCTGCACCGAGGTGCCTTTGCTCACGTGCACACAGCTCTGTGGGGGTCCTGAGCTCTGGGGCTGGTCTCTGCCATGAGGATGGTGGGCCAGGGGGAGAGGGGTGCCAGCACCTGGCCTCTGGGCCACAGACCCTCTTACTGACAAGAGACACATCCTTTGGTTGAACCAGGCTCTGCTCCCCTCAGGACATTGTCTTTCCTTACTGTAGGGAGGAAGGTACCTGGAATGTGTGGCCCTGTTCTGGGGGGCCTGGCTGGGCTGTCCCCAGCAGGGTACAGTCAGGGGGTCCCACGTGACTTCCATTATTGCCAGGGCTGCCAGTCGTAGGGGCATCTCCTCTGTGCCTGGCCAGGAATGTGATGAGTGCTACATGCACAATTCAGCAGCCCAACCCTGAGGTTGCCATGTTATCTTCTTTGTTACTGTGGAGGAGACTGAGGCTCAGAGAGGCCAGTGGATTACCTAGGTCACACAGCTGGTGAGGGGGTGCTCAGGAGTCCAGCCCTGGTCTTTCTCGCTCCAGGGTCTGAGCCCTCCAGCTGGCGAAGCCGAGGCAGGGGCCAGGGATGAGGCCTGAGTTAGCTGGCTGTGGGCACTGAGGGGGTCTGCTTTCTCTTTCCTTTCCTCCAGGACCCCGGCTGTGCCAACCAAGCTCTGATCAGCAAGAAGCTTAATGATTATCGCAAAGTAAGGTGAGGTCCAGCTCTCACGAATAGTCTTGACCATGAGGCGGGGGGCACTCCAGACAGAGGTCATCCTCCTGGCCCACCTCTGGGCCTGAGGCAGCCTCTGAATCACCCTCTAGGGGGGTGGGGGTGGGTGGGTGGGTAGGCAGAGCCTCCAGTCCCCAGAAGGACAAGGAGGCATTCGTCAGGGATGGAGGGGAGGTCTAAAGTGGTAGGAGGCTGGGGCAGGTGGCATGTTGGGTGACCCCAGATGAAGACTTTTCTTCTCCTCCTTTTCCTACACAGCCATAGCTCTGGGCCCAAAGCTGACTCCTCCCCCAAAGTCTCTCGTGGCCTGGGGGGCCTCAAGTCTGAGTTCCTCAAACAGAGTACCGCACGTGGCTTCAGGACTCAGGACCAGTCAGCAGGGAGCAAGGGTAGGAAGGTGGCTGCTAAGGGGGCAGTATGTGTGTGTGCACATGTGGGAGGGTGGGGGTCAGTTCTGTGGGTCTACATGGGAGCCAAGGGCTTGTGTGTGTGTGTGTGTGTGTGTGTGTGTGTGTGTGTGCATGTGTTGGGCTGGATGTGTGCCAGGATTATCCTGGTATGTCAGTCTGTGTGTGTATGCCTGTGAGGGTCTAGGGGCTTCCAGAGTCTTAGGGCTGGAAGGGCCTGGAACCTGATTTCCCTCCGTGACATCCCAGCTGGGTGTTCTCCAAGTCCCTGCCTGTGTCCCTTCAGGAGCAGGAGGCTCATCCTCTCTGGAGGCGGCCCTTCCCCTCTTTATACACTTTCGACTATTAGAAAGTTTTTTCTTTGGTTGTATCAGAATCTGCGACCCCCACCTTGTTGTTTTAGCCCTCGAGGCCATATAGAAGTCCTTACTTTCCTCCGAGGGCTGACTCCTCAGGAATAAACCCCCTCATCTCTGAGGCCTTCTCTCAGGATATAATTTCCCATCAGCCCTCAGCATTCCAGTTGCCTTTCTGATGGAGTCCCCACATGTCCAAACATGGGTGGGTGTGTGTGACCAAGTGTGGCTGCTGCCCCTCCCCTGCTGCCCCCGACCCCCGCTCACCCTGACTTTGTCTGCCTTCTCCGACCCCAGATGACAGTGCTGCCACTCCCAAAACCCCATGGGGCATCAACATCATCAAGAAGAACAAGAAGGCAGCTCCTAGGGCGTTTGGGGTCCGACTGGAGGAGTGCCAACCAGCCATAGAGAACCAGGTGAGCCCCCGCCGTACCCCAGGACAGGCAGAGAAGGGGGCAGACCAAGGCACAGAGGGTCAGAGCTGTGAGGGACTTTGGAACCAGCTCTCCGCCTCATCTTAGAGACACCACGGTTGTGGGGGTTGTCGGGGGGCAGAGCCCAGGGAGGGAACAGCAGAACTGAGGCAGAGCCCGGAATCCCCACCCTCCGGTCAGTGCTCCCGTGCCCACCGTGGTGAGGCTCTGGTGCCCGGAGACGGTGAGGGCCTTCTGTTCCCCTGCATGGGGCCCCCAGGCAGCAGCTCCGGCCGTGCACTGCTCCCGTCTTGGCCTTCCCCCCTCTTCTGGCTCACCGGTGGGGAATCCTGCCTTTTACCTTCCTAACACGTCTGCCCTGCCTATCCCCAGCGGGTCCCCTTGATCGTGGCTGCGTGCTGTCGCATCGTGGAGGCACGGGGTCTGGAGTCCACGGGCATTTACCGAGTGCCTGGTAACAATGCAGTGGTGTCCAGCCTGCAGGAGCAGCTCAACCGTGGGCCCGGGGACATCAACCTACAGGATGAGGTGGGTGCAGCCAGGGAGTCTGTGGAGGCGGGGAGGGGCCGAGGCGGTGTGTGTGTCTGTCGTGTTCCTTGTACCCTGCAGCGTGCCTGGCAGCGGGCCGGGGCACGAAGACGGGTGAGACGGGGCCTGTCCTTGCGGGCCAGGCCCGGGGATGGGCATCCCCCAGCTGAGGCCTGACAGGTGCAGTCGTAGCTAGGGAGCCTTGAGGCAGAGGCTCGCAGGCAATAGTTTGGGGGCCTTGAGGATGAGTAGAGTTCACTAAACGCCGGTGAAAGCCGGGCGAGGGCATTCCAGGCCGAGGGAATGGCCTGGGCGAAGGGGCGGGCCCTGAAGGTTTGCCAGCAGTCGACTCGCCTTCTCTGTAAAGGACCAGGTAGCAGATGTTTTAGGTGCTGGTTACCACGCGGTCTCCTCCTCCTCCTCCTTCTTTTTCTTCAGTCCTTTAAACACGTGAAAACCGTTCTTAGCTCCAGGGCCACACAAAACCAGGCCACAGGCTGGACTGGACCCGCAGGCTGTGCTCCGCAGACCCCTGGCTTAGAAGCGGAGCCTGTGGTATTTTCTGGAGCAGCCAGGACTTTGAATGGTTGCAACGTGGGAAGAGGAGGGGCCGGTCAGATGAGACAAAGCCGGCTCGTGAAGCAGTCTGACAGCCACACTTAAAAGTTTGCAGCAGGCTCAGCAGCCGGTTAAGCCGACTGTGCTCTTTCCCCACGGGGACCCAGGGTGCCACGGCTGCAAACAGCAGCCTCCTTGGTGGTGTATGCAGCCTGTCGATTGTATAGGCTGCCCTAAGGGACCTTGGGGACAGCCTTTCCCAGTGGACATTGAGGTTTGGCCTCATGTCTCCGGTCTAGGCTCCAGACAGGTATGCAGTGTGGGGGGACGGGGCACCTTTGGAAAGCCCCCGGTCACGGTGGCCAAGGTCCGCATCGGCCAAGTCATCATGTCCATCTGTACCAAGTTGCAGAACAAGGAGTCTGTGATCGAGGCCCTACACAGGGCCAAGTTCAAGTTCCCTGGCCGCCAGAAGATCCACATTCCCAAGAAGTGGGGCTTTACTCAGTTTATTGTGGATGAATTTGTAGACGTGGTGGCCGAAAAGCGGCTCATCCCAGATGGCTAGGGGTCAAATACATCCCTAATCGTGGCCCCTTGGACAACTGCTGGGCTCTTCATTCACGAGAATCTTGGCTCTGTCCCTCCCTATTCATGCCCACCAATAAGTTCCACTTCCTGTAAAAAAAAAAAAAAGCTCACTTCTTAAAAAAAAATGTCAGTTATATCTCAGTAAAGCTGGAAAAAAAAAACTAAAGAAATATATATTTTTTTAAGTATTTATTTTGAGAGAGAGCGAGCATGAGCAGGGGAGGAGCAGAGAGAAAGAATCCCAAGCAGGCTCTGCCCTGTCAGCACAGAGCCCAATGTGGGGCTTGAATCTACAAACCATGAGATCATGACCTGAGCCAAAACCAAGAGCCAGACGTTTAACTGACGGAGCCACCTAGGTGCCCCCCCAAAATGTATATTAAAAGAATTTAAAACATTTTTTTAATGTTTTATTTATTTTTAGAGAGAGAAAGAGACAGAACACAAATGGGGGAGAGGCAAAGAGGGAGGGAGACACAGAATCCGAAGCAGGCTCCAGGCTCTGAGCTGTGAGCACAGAGCCTGACGTGGGGCTCAAACTCACACAAGATCCACAAGATCGTGACCTGAGCCAAAGTCGGAGGATTAACTGACTGAGCCACCCAGGGGCCCCCCAAAGAGATATTTTAAATTTTTTTTTCAACGTTTATTTATTTGGGGGACAGAGAGAGACAGAGCATGAACGGGGGAGGGGCAGAGAGAGAGGGAGACACAGAATCGGAAACAGGCTCCAGGCTCTGAGCCATCAGCCCAGAGCCCGACGCGGGGCTCGAACTCACGGACCACGAGATCGTGACCTGGCTGAAGTCGGACGCTTAACCGACTGCGCCACCCAGGTGCCCCAACAAAGAGATATTTTAATGTGAAAAAAAAAGAATGTGCAGCAGGGTCAGTGTTTCTCAAACTGTATTCCCCCAAAAAGCTGTGGGAGGCTGGGAGCAGGTCAGGAACCCTGGTCTTTGCTCAAACTAGAGAAATCTGCTTTGTTCTGTTTTTAATGTCATTTTTTTTTTTCATATTGGGTTTTCACGTATGATTCTGTCTGGCAAAAAGGGGCTCTGCTGAAAAAGATTTTTGGAAAACCAGGAATCTGGGCAATGAAGTCCCATGAGTCACATATTTAGTGAAGCTTTATGTGATACCTGACCGTCTTCCTGCCCTTGGGGAAAAAATGGGGAGACAAGATAAGTACGTGTGGGACAGTGGCCAAGGGAGAAGGCTGCTCTCTCACCAAGGGCCAGATTGTGCGATGAGGAAGGAGAAGATGCCGAGGGCCGGAGCAGGTGGTAGACTTGAGTGTTTGAATCTTTGAAGCGTGAATGGGAGGGGGCAGGTGGACAAGAAGGCAGTCCAGGCTGGGAACGATGGCATTTTCCAAAATCCCAGAGAAGGGTCTGAGTGTCGAGACAGAGAACAGGCCCATTTCATTCCTCCTTCCTGGGCTTGCCAGTGGGGAGGATGAGGCCCGGGGCAGGAGGTGGAGGGCTTTTGATGGCTCCACTGAAGTCTTTGATCTTGACAGTAGGGACAATAGGGAGCCTTCAGTGGTTCTTCAGCTGGGGAGGCATAAATGAGAGTGGAGTCTGCTTTAGCTTATGTCTGACGGATACAAATGAGGGAGGCCCAGAGCGGGGCATCCAAGGGAGAAATTGCTGACATGTGGGAAGTGCAAGGGGCCAGGAGGACACGGTGGCCCCAGGGGAATAAGGAAGATGGGAGCAGCTCTAGGAGTTGACCACATGAGAGGGAGGAAGGGGGGTGCAGGGAGGAGCCAACATTTGAGCTGGGGGCTGGTGATATCTCTCTGGCAGAAACTGGGGAGTAGGGCCCGAGAGGGAAGATGTGTCAGGCAGGCCCCCGCCCCCGGATTTGGGGTGATGGCACAAACAGGCAGTCCCCAAGAGTGCACTGGAGGATGGACACGGTGGCGTTGGGGCACAGAGTGGGACGATGGAGGGATGGGGCACAGAGTGGGACGATGTGGGCAGAGGGTGGGCAGCAGGAGTGAAGGGCCAGGCTCCGTGTGGGACAGAGGAGAGGGGGGGCTCAGGTGAGGCTGGGGATGAGTGGCAGATGTGTGCACGTGGGAGGGGTCCAGAAGCCTTGGGTTTGGCAGCTGGGAGATGAGAACAGCCAGGAGGTGATGGGGCAGGTGGGCGGGCCCTGTGCTGGCTTGGGGTGGATATGCCCAAAAGCACATTCGCTGGGGCTTAGCCAGGGAGAAGCATGGCCAGGGCTGGGGGGGCAGCGGACCCAAGTCAGGGCCCAGAGTGTGCTGGGCGTGTAGTTTTGTCTCAGACACCAGTCCGGTCCTCTGTCTTGGGGACCGCTAGAAGTTAAGTACTGTGGGTAGGGTGACCGTAACTCCTGATGAACCTGAGGGGGAGGGTATTGTTCGTGGGATGGTGTGGGGCCATTGTACTGAGTGTGTGTGTTGTGGAGCTGCGTGTCTTTGTGGAAGGTGTTACCTTGTTTTCCGGGCCTGAGTTACTCTGAGCCCTTCCGGTCAAGGCTGTTACCCTGGACTTTGCACGGGGTGGTGGTGCCCCCTCGTGGACACAAGGGACAGTGACCGGCCATGCTTCATTCATTCTTGCATTCAACAATCCATTTATTTAAAAAAAAAAAAAATTTTTTTTAATGTTTATTTATTTTTGAGAGAGAGAGACAGATTGTGAGCGGGGGAAGTTTAGAGAGAGAGGGAGACACAGAATCCGAAGTAGGCTCCAGGCTCTGAGCTGTCAGCACAGAACCCAATGTGGGGCTTGAGCCCACAAACAGATCAGACCCGAGCTGAAGTCGATGCTTAACCAACTGAGCCACCCAGGCGCCCCAACCATCCATTTATTTAAAACAGGGTTTCTTGGGGTACCTGGGTGGCTCAGTTGTTTAAGTGTCTGACTTTGGCTTAGGTCATGATCTTGCAGTTTGTGAATTTGAGCCCCGTGTCGGGCTCTGTGCTGACAGCTTGGAGCCTGGAGCCTGCTTCAGATTCTGTGTCCCTTTCTCTCTGCCCCTCCCCTGCGTGCGCTCTCTCTCTCAAAAATAAGTAAACATTAAAAAAAAAACAACCCAGGTTTCTCAATCTTGATGCCTTGCAGAATAATTCTTTGTTGTGGGAAGGTGTCCTGTGTATCACAGAAAGTTTAAAAGCATCCCCAGACTCTGGTTGTGGAAACCAAGGGGGTTCTGTCCCTGGGGGTGCGATTCTGCCCCTGTTGAGAACTACTGACTTAGGGCATATAGGTGCCAGGCTAACTGAGCTCACTAGGTGATAGGAGCACAGTGGGGGACAGGGCAGACAGGACAGGACAGACAGTCCTGCCAGGCAGGTAGGCAGGGAAGGAAAAAAATACATAGAACGGTGACAAAGTATGGTAAGTGCCATGGAAGAAACAAGGTCAGGGCTGTTGTACAGATGAAGGAGCAGGGGCATTGGTGGCTGTGTTAGCTGTGACTGTCAGGGAAGGAGTCTCTGCAGAGATGGCATTTGGGTAGGATGAGGAGGCTGGCCTGTGAAGGGCAGGGGAGGAAACTTCTAGGGGAGGGAATTGGCATGTGCAAAAGGCCTGAGATAGGCAGGTGCCAGGCATGAATGACTGCTATGTCATGGATAAGGAGAGGGGGTCCAAGGGTGGCTCTCCACTAAATGGGGAGCCCTGGGAGGCAGGATTGAGTGCTAGTAGGCCCGAGGAGGTCCAACCACCAAGGAGGTTTCCTTCACTTCCGTCCCATAGTGCTTTCACCAAAGAAGGTACCTAGTACTTGCTGTGGGTGGGCAAATGCTGGAGCTCACTGGGCTTGCTGGAGCAGGGAGGGGTCGGGGCCAGCCGGTCAGGGGGCCAGGACCTAGCTGGGCGCTGTTCTGCCGCCACCACCCTGATTAGTCTCCTTAGGCCGGAGATTCCCCGGTCTGGGCAGAGCTTGGTGTGGGTGTACCCCAGGGAGGGCCGGGCCGGGCTAGACTAGCATGGAGGCGTGGGCACCTGGGCTGGGCCTGGGTGGGGGGATGGGGTTTGCGTACCCCGCTGGGCCTGCCTGGGACCTGACTTCTTCGCCCTCTCCCCAGCGCTGGCAGGACCTCAATGTGATCAGCAGCCTGCTCAAGTCCTTCTTCCGAAAACTGCCTGAGCCTCTTTTCACCGACGGTGAGTGGGGGTGGAAGTGGAGGACGGGAGGAGGAGGGACACCTGTCTGTGCTGCACTCTGACCACTTTGTTTTATTGGGTTTGTTGGCTTTACTCATTGGGTTTTTGTTGTTGTTGTTGTTTTTAATGCTTATTTATTTATTTAATTGTTTTAACATTTATTTTTATTTTATTTTATTTTTTTTTTAAATTTTTTTTTTAACGTTTATTTATTTTTGAGACAGAGAGAGACAGAGTATGAACAGGGGAGGGGCAGAGAGAGAGGGAGACACAGAATCTGAAACAGGCTCCAGGCTCTGAGCGGTCAGCACAGAGCCCGACGCGGGGCTCGAACTCACGGACCGTGAGATCATGACCTGAGCCGAAGTCGGACGCTTAACCTACCGAGCCACCCAGGCGCCCCTAACATTTATTTTTGAGAGACAGAGAGAGACAGAGTGTGAGCAGGGGAGGGGCAGAGAGAGAGAGAGGCAGATACAGAATCCAGAGCAGGCTCCAGGCTCTGAGCTGTCAGCACAGAGCCTGACGTGGGGCTTGAACTCAGGAACAGTGAGATCATGACCCAAGCCAAAGTCGGATGCCTAACTGAGCCAACCAGGTGCCCCAGTGTTTATTTTTTTTGAGAGAGAGCAGGGGAGGGGCAGAGAGAGAGAGAGAGGGAGACACAGAATCTAAAGCAGACTCCAGGCTCCCAGCTGTCAGCATAGAACCCGACATGGGGCTTGAACTCATAAACCGCGAGCTCGGGACCGGAGCCAAAGTTGAGGCTTAACCGCTTGAGCCACCCAGGCACCCTGGGTTTTTGTTTCAATACAAGGCTTGTAACAAACTTAGTATAGATGCAAATAAAGAACACCCGAAGGTGCCTGTCACTCTCCTAGTCCCTATCCCTGGAGACTATCCTGACCCTTTCTGAGCATTTGCTGTGTGCCAAGCACTGCTCCCTACAACAACTCCATGGAGTAGGTACTATTATCTCCACTGTACAGATGAGGAAACTGAGGTTAAATCATTTGCCCAAGGTCACGCACGTTGTCAGTGTCAGAGCCAGGATTCAGCCCCAGGCTTCCGGCTCCAGAGCCCAGCTCTTGACTGTTCGCTGATCTGTTTGTTTCCCAGACCCTCTTACACCTGTGATGGAGACAACCATGCATAGATAGGGTCTAGAGTTGGGTGAGTTTGCCTGCGTGCTGGCAAATGTTTGCCATCTGGCTCTCAAGGGAAAAAAGCCTTGATCTGTAGTCTCCATGGTACAATTACTCCTACTGTGCCTTATTTCAAGCTACCGATAAGCTGCCACCAACGTGGAGTCAGAAGAGATGAACACCTTTGGCCCTCAGGAGCCGGTGTGAGCAGGATTCAGCACACTCCTGGGGGTGGGGGGGCGCCGGTTCTTAACAAAAGGAGGCTTGTCATTCTGAGATTCATTCGTGTCTGTACAAAGAGCTGTACCCCGTTCTTCTTTTAAATCAACCACCTGGTAGTTCGTAGTCGGAATAGACTATAATTTGCCTAATCACTCCCCTATTGATGGATATTCAGGTTGTGTTCAAATTTTTGCTCTTACAAAACACGTCGCAATGACTTTCCTTGAAGGTGTCCCTACATGCCCAGATCGGTGTCCTAGAGGTGGGTTCCTAGACTGTAGAATTTCCAGGTCAAAGTCCTGGTCAACATTTTTGAAAGCTAATGTCAAGCTGCCCTCTGAGAAGAAGGCCCTAGTTCATACTCTGACCAACAGCATAGGAGAGAATTGGCCCCATCGACCCTAGATGTTATCAGCATTTTATTAGACTTCTCTTAATTGGTTGAGGGAAATGTCATCTCATTATGTTTTCATTTTCATTTCTTTCATTATTAGGGAAATTAACTATCTTTTCATTAGTTTATTGGCCTTTTCTGTTTCCTCTCATTTCCTGTTCAGACCGTGTGCCCATTTTCCTATTGGGCTGTTTGTCTTTTTTGGTATCGGTTTGTACGAGACAAGCTCTTGTGTATTATGGGTATTAACCCTTTGCTAGTTTTTGCGGAGATTTGCTCTCGGTCTGCCGTTTGCCTATTAACTGTTCAGGGCAGAAATTGAAAACAATTAAGTGTAGTCAAAGCTGTTAATCTTTAATGGATCTTGCATCTCGTGTTTAGGAAGGCCTTATGGTTGTAAAGACGTCTTCTTGGTTTTCCCAAGATTTTAGCAACTTTGACATTTGGCTCTCTAATGCAATCACACATGTTTGTGTATTATTATGTGGGCTGGAAATGGATTTTTGTTCCCCCAACAAGATAGCTAATTGTCCCAGGGACATTTATTGACCCCTCCATCCTTCCGCACTGATTTGAAACGCTGCCTTTATCACATAGTAAAGATCCACGTGGCCTGTTCCCCTCCTTTCTGTGTCCTTGTCCTTGGCCAGCCTCCCCCGTGAGGCCCAGGCTGCTGAAGCTATGCTATCTTTTTAGCGCGTTTCAGTATCGGATAGGACAAGCCCTCCCTCGTGATTCTTCCTTTACAGACTGTTCTCCGCTCTCCTTATGCATCTACTCGTCAGATGAGTTTCAGAATAAACTTAGCCTGTTCCATGTTTTAAAGTTCCCCATGCACTTCTTCTGAAGGGAGTTGGGGGGCATTTTGACACAGGTGGTGTGGGCGTCTGGAGGCTGAAAGGGCCCCTCCCGCTTTTCTAGGTAACCTCTTCTGACCTTGTGGTGTCCTTGTCCCAGAGCCTGGGACGAGGACCACTTTTCCAGTATCCACGTGCAGCTCAGGTCTTGCTTCTTCCCAAACACACCTGGGCTGCCCCAGGTCTGGCGCGCCCCTGAGTGCAAGTGCAGCTGTAGTGGGTTTGGTCACATAGACGCAAGGTCATGGAGCACCCCCCCCCCCCCCCACCACCACCGACGCTGAGCTGGAGCAGCCTGGGCCTCCTCAGCTTGGAAGCACCGTGAGAGTGGGAGAAGGGACTGCCTCCCACCTCTCTAAAGAGTCTGCACTGTGTTCTAGACAAATACAATGACTTCATTGAGGCCAATCGCATCGAAGACTCGAGGGAGCGGATGAAGACACTCCGGAAGCTGGTAAGGCCTGGAGCCCAGTGCCGCCACTTCCCTCTGTGACCTTGGAGATGCCCTTCTCCGCTCTGGGCCTCCGTTTCTCCATCTCTCCAAGGGGGCTGGCTAGAGGGTGGTTTCCAGACTCCGGAGGTATGGCGGTGGGAGCCCCTGTGGGGTGTGCTGGGGAGGTGGGGAGGCCATCACAGCCCCATGCCCCTTCTCGCTCCCGCCCAGATCCGGGATCTCCCAGGACACTACTATGAGACTCTCAAATTCCTCGTGGGCCATCTGAAGACCATTGCTGACCACTCGGAGAAAAACAAGGTGGGGGGACTCTGGCGTGGAATGTGGGGGAAGGAGGCATATAGGGTCCTTTCAGCATATTCTAGACTCTTCCAGGTCAGATAATCCCAAGGCCCTCTAGGCACACCCTCCTCCGTAGTCACTCTGTCCCACCCCACCCTTCCATGCCAGCCAGTGCTTCTTCCCCGGAGAGCCATCTCCGGAGTTTCTGAAGGGTATCGCAGAGGCAGAGAGCCACAGTCCCTCTGTGTCTGATGGAAATCTATCCTTGGATTTAGCTCAAATCCCTTGCATTGCATTTTTCTTTCTTTCTTTCTTTCTTTCTTTCTTTCTTTCTTTCTTTCTTTTTTCTTTAAAAAAAAAAAATATTTTAAGTAATCTCTACACCCAACACGGGGCTCGAACTCATAACCTTAAAATCAAGCGTTGCTCACTCTACAGACTAAACCAGTCTCTCATGCCACATTGTGTTTGTCTAATCAGACCTCTGTATTTTCTGGTTCTGCAAAAATGAATGGAGCTATAGGAATGCTCCCAGTTTTAAAATACCCTTAGAACCTCCAGCAGGTCCCTATTCTGGCATCTGTCACTGTCAGCACGGTATGGGTGAGCAGGCTGGGCACTGCTCTCGGCTGCTAGGCCTGGGGATGAGCGAGGCTGAAATCTGGCCTGTACTCTACTTGCGAGGCATTGCCTTACCCAGCAAGGAGGTGTCCGTCCCCTAAGCCAGGCATAGCTCAGGATGGGCCTTGGGCCTGAGGGGCCTGGGGTGAGGGAGGTCTGGGGGACTGGAGGTCAGAGCTCATGGAGTGTTGATGCTGACCTGCTTTCCTCCCCTGCCCAGATGGAGCCCAGGAACCTGGCCCTGGTCTTCGGGCCGACGCTGGTGAGGACGTCTGAGGACAACATGGCGGACATGGTGACCCACATGCCTGATCGCTATAAGATCGTGGAGACGCTGATCCAGCACGTAAGCAGCCACTCCAGGCCGAGGCCATGTCCCCCTGGGCATTTCGCTCCTGCTTGCCTGGGCGGATGTGCTTAGTGGAGGATGAGGCAGCTTCAGCAAATGCTCCTGGGATGGCACATGCCCTTCCGAAGCGATGGGCTGCGTTTCCGGACCAAACAGGAATGGATCCTAGAATCCCTGTCTTTCTAGGATGTTCCATTCCCAGCAGGAGAATCAGGAGGCCCCTGAGCTTCTAAGATGAGGGTGAGGGTCAGAGGGCAGAGGATGGTCAGGGAAAGTGCGGCTGGGTTGGACAGCCAAGGGGTGAATGCAGGGGCACGTTCAGAAGGGGGCCCCAGGAAAAGTGTCCTTGTAGAAACACGCAGACGGGTGTAGGGAGCAGGGGCAGAGCTCTGCCTTGCCACCCCACTGAGGCTTGGGGAGCAAATGGTGATGCCCGGGGAGGGGACGCAGATGAGGCAGGGCGGAGCAAGGGCTAAGACAGGATCCTGCACTTGTCCTCTGTATGTCTTGGGCTGGTCTCCCCCCTTCTCATGGCTCCTAGAAGCACCACAAGCCCTGTTGTGTCTAAGGAGTCTAGTTATTGTCCAGGATGGGATGAGAACCTAGAGCGGCCAGCAGAGGGCGCAGGAGGCCTTGGTCCTCTAGAGCCAAACTCAGGGCAGCGCTGCCCCCTTCTGGGGCCCTAAGGGATGCTTTTATAAATCCTATAGATTTTCAAGAAAAAAAAAAAAAATCACAGATTTCCCATTTCCAAATCTGCCTGTGGATGGAACCCGACCCCCTCCTGCCAGGAGAAATAAGACCGGCAGCTGGCCAGCGGAATGGGGTCCTCAGCGTCTGCAACGTCACAGATACTTTAGGGAAGGGAAACCAGGCCATGTTACTCCCATTTTACAGATGAGGAAACCGGTGCTCAGAAAAGCAAAGTGACTTGCTCAAAGTCACGCAGCTTATTAAGTGGCAGCCCCAGGATTGTAAGCCAGCTTTGTCTGACCAAAGTTGGTGCTTTCCTCGGCCCCTGCTGGGAGGCCAGATTCCGGGGTCCATCCTAGAGCTGGCTTGGCCGGCCAGGGTCAGTGACGTGAGGCAGTGGGGTAGACTTTGGTCACGCCGACTGGCCTTGCCCGCTTATTTCCTTCCTCCACTGGGTGGTCAGGGCTCTGAGCCTTGGGAGGGAACGTCAAAGCCTGTTCTCATTCCAACATTTCCCTTAGTCTGGGAAAACTTACCCCTTGGAAAATTTCAGCTCCCCAGTCTAACACGTGGCCCCCGGAGCCCCTGGAGTTGCGGGCCCAGACAGGATCGGACCTCGGCAGAGACTTCTCTGACTCTGGCTCTGAGCCCCTGGCCCGTCAGCGGATGGCTGCAGGTCAGGGGTGACTTTGCGGCCATCACCTGGCCTCCCTACCCGGGGCTCCTGTCCTCCCAGTGGCAAGTCACCAACCAGCTCATTCCCATGTTTACTAAGTCAGCTGCAACCCAAAGACCACGTCAAGGCATTTGTTCGAACGTGATTGCCGCTCTGCATACACCGGGATCTCTCAGCCTCCGCACTAGTGACCTTTGGGGCCAGATGATTCTTTGTGGGGCTCTGTCCTGTGTAGCGCAGGATGGTTAGCAACATCTCTGGCTAGATGCCAGGAGCCTCCCTCCAGTCATGACAACTGAAAATGTCTGCCGACTTTCCCAAATGCCCCCCCCCCCCAGGGGACGGGAGGCAGAGGCACCCCGCTTGAGAACCGCTGAGGTAGCAGTTGAGGGCACTGGCTCTGGAGCCCGCCTGCTTGAAGTTCAACTCTGGCTCTGCTCCTTACATGCTGTGGGGCCTTGAACAAGGGACTTACCCTCTTTTTGCCTCAGTTTCCTCATCTGTAAAGTGGAGATGCTAATAATGCTCACCTCACACGGTAATTGTGAGGGTTACATGCGTTAATGTCCGTGAAGCAGTTAAAATGCCACTTAGCGGGTAAGAGGTGTCATATGAATTAGCGACCACCATTATTGACCTCATCGGCATGCCAGAGGCAGGTTCAGGTGCTGGGATGCAGAGGTGACTGGAACCCAGGCCCTGCTGTGAAGGAGCAGTGCCTCAGTGAAGATGTCATTTCTTCATTCTCTGGGCTATCGCCAGGGAAGCCCATGGAAGGACCTAACCCTGCCCCGGCTGTAGGGCTGGGAGCGTAGTCAGGGGCGAGTTTAACTGTCTTACGACACCCGGAGGAATTTAGCCATTCAGAGCAGGGAGAAAGCGTTCCAGGCACAGGGATGTGCAAAAGCAGGGTGGCACCAGCTAGCGTGAATTCTTCCAGAAAACTCTGGGCTACCCGGAAGCTTCTGGGCTCCCACAGCACTTTTGGGTACCTCCAAACCGAATTAAAGGCTGGGCTTCTTAGGGCTTCCTCTATTCAGCCTGTCTCTGGGGACTGCACTTTTTCTTAATGATGGCTAACATTCATTGTACATTAGCAATGTGTTGTACTAAATATTTTACACACGGTATTTCATTATTTTTGAAATGTTTAAGCGGAGGGTATAATTGACATGAGATTAGTTTCACGTGTAACAACACGACCATTCAGTATTTGTATATATCCGGTGAGATGATCAGCGCTATACATATACCGTCACCATACATAGTTACAATTGTTTTTCTGGCCATGAGAATTTTTCAGTCTTGTTCTCTTAGTAACTTTCAAAAACACAATGCAGTATTGTTAACCACAGTCATCATGCTCTAGGCTACGTCCCCGCGACTTATTTATTTTGCAACTGGAAGTTTGTACCTTTTGACCCCCTTCACCCGCTTTGCCCACCCCCCACTCCCGGCCCCACCCCAGCCTGTTTTCTGTTACCTATGAGCCTGGATCGCGTCTGTTTGTTTTAGATTCCACCTGTGAGATCATACGGTATTTGTCTTTCTCTGTGTGACTTGTTTCATTTAGCATACGTGGTACCTTCAGGGGCCATCCATGTGGTCACAGATGGCAAGATTTCCTTCTTTCAGTGGCTGAGTTGTATTCCATTTTATATACACGCCACATCTTCTTGACCCATTCCTCCATCAGTGGGCACTCAGGCCACTTCCGTGTCTTAGTTGTTGTAGATAATGTGCTGCAATGAACAAAAGGGTGCAGATATCTCTCCTTGGTGTTTTTGTTTTCTTCAGAAAAATACCCAGAAGCAGAATTGCTAGATTATAGGGTAGCTCTTTTTTTTTTTTAAGTGTATTTGTTTATTTTGAGAGAGAGAGAGAGAGAGACAGAGAGAGAGAATCCCAAGTAGGCTCCACGCTGTCCGTGCAGAGACTGACTCGCGACTGGAACCCACGAACTGTGAGGTCATGGACCTGAGCAGAGGTCAAGGGTCGGATGCTTAACTGACTGAGCCACCCAGACATTCCTGGATCGTAGGGTAGTTCTATTTTTAATTTTTTGAGGAACCGCCATGCTGGTTTCCGTAGTGGCTGCACCAATTTACATTCCCACCAACACTGTGTGACAGTTCCCTTTTCCCCACATCCTCATCAACACTTGGTATTTCTAGTTTCTTATAATAGCCATACCGGATTTCATTTTCCTTCTCACCACAATTTTAGAAGTAGATACTCCTGTTATGCCCATTTTACAGATAAGTAAATAGACTCAAAGAAGTCATTTACCCGAGGTGGACTTGAGCCCGAGAAGACTGACTTTCGATCTTGCATCATTTCTTATCCTCTCTTCTCTTTCTCGTTGCTCTCCTTTGCCACTTATTTGAGTTAATAATATGCCAGATTGTGGCGAATAATAACTGAGGTTCATGGCACATGGTCATAATCAACCTGCAAGTCTCCTTGTTTCCCCCTTCATCCCTGACCCCAGTTTGCTCCCGCCATAATTACCCAGTCTGATTGGGTAATACGTATCCTTTCAATCCATGTTCCCTGTCTTATCGTATTTATTTATTTTTTAACAAACAGTATTTTTTTTTTTAAGTAATGCCCAATGTGGGGCTCGAACTCATGAGTCTGAGATCGAGTTGCACACTTGCAACTGAGCCAGCCAGGTGCCCCTGATATTCTGTGTGTGTTAACTTTCGACCAGTGAGCTTAACTCCTTGATTCTAATTTCTGTGTTGTTGGGACTTCTCTCTGCCATCTTAAGTGTCGTTTTTTGTTTACCCCATTTTCATTTTATTTCTTTTCCATCTGTCCTACCTTGCTTTCGATGGATTGATTTTTGTTTTCCTGATATGAAAATGACATAATTTAGGGGAGCCTGGGTGGCTGCTTGGTTAAGCATCCAGCTTGATCTCTGCTCAGGTCATGATCTCACGGTTCATGAGTTAAAGCCCCGAGTGCTGACAGCGTGTGGAGCCTGCTTGGGATTCTGTCTCTCCCTCTCTCTGCCCCTCCCATGCTCTCTCTCGCTCTCTCAAAATAAATTAAAAAAAAGAAAAATTACACAATGTATAAAGCCCAATCTGTGTTTAATTATACAATTATAACAGCCCATACTTATGCTTCACTCTCACTGATTATTCCTAAAGCTCATCAATATCCATTGTCTTCCTTCCACCACATCTAAAAACCAAGTGCCTTAGTGTACTGTCACCCATCACCGGTTTCTCCCTCTGTGTTCGAAATCCACAGTGTCATGGATATGCTTTGTGTGTGTACAATTGTACGTGTATATGAGTATCCTTGCTTGGATCGACCGTGGACATTCATCCTGACCTCTCCGAGCTGGTCACTCCACCCCGGGGTCATTTCTTAACTGTGCTCATATACACAGTTAAGAGAATCTTTGTGCAGCAAGCTTTCTGATGTCTTCAAGTAGCTTTCGTTCACACTCAACTGAGAGTTTAGCAGGGTATAAAATTCTAGGCTCAAAATTCCTGCGTTTCTAATCCAGCAATACAGGAAAATACTACTTATCTTCTTATGTCTGCTGCTGCTGCTGAAAGTTCTAGTTACAGCTGATGCTCGTTTGTAAGCAACCTTTTTTTTTTTTTCTCCAGAAAACTTTTAGGGTTTTATCTTTAAGTTTCTCAGATTTCACAAAACATACTTACGAATCAGATTTTTACTTTATTTTCTATCCTGTTTGGCATTTATGTGAAAACTCTTTCCTGCCTGCCCCTCAGGGAACCTCCTAACATTTCCCTCCCGGCACTTCTGTCTTCTGGCTGGGGGAGAGAGTGGCCACCCCAGTAGCTAATGTGGTGCCCAGGGCTCTTCTGGCTGCCGCAACAGGTGGGCCTTCTCTCTGCAGTGGACCCAGCCTGCGCTAGATGGCACTGCTGTCCCCGCTTCTGGCTTGCGGTTGGGAGCGAGCCCCAGAGATGTGTTCTGGACAATATCTAGTGAAAAACAGGCGGAGAAGCTTTTCCTGAACTGGCCCTCCATCAATCCTCAGCCCTTCCCATTCCGGGCTGCATTTCCCTCCAGCACTGGGGTCCAGCCTTTTCTCTCCCCGAGGGTTTCTCGTAGTCTGTGGGGTTTGGTCCTGGGAATCCATGTTCCCTTGGGAACATCCAGTGACCAGGCCAGCCTGGGGGTTGTTGAGAAGAGGGAGGACTTCTCCTGCCCCATTCCATATGACGTTTGAGTGGAGTCCTCTGGACTGTGCAGGTCCAGAGCCCGTGTCTCCGTCTTCCCTCAGCCCCTTCCCACGCTGAGTTTCACCACTTCCTTTTGTCTCCTCTGCAGTCAGACTGGTTCTTCAGCGATGACGAGGACAAGGGAGAGAGAGTAAGTGATGCAGAGGGAGGGTGGAGTGGGTCTGGTCTGAGGTGGGCCTGCATCTCAGTTTGGGGGCCGGGAGGAGGCAGGCAGTAAGACTCAAGCAGGGGAAGGTCCCTGCCCTTGGGGCTTCCCAGTCTGATGGAGGAAACATAGGCCCTCTTCTCAGGAGCCTCCAGTCTAATGGGAGACACGATCCTTGCCTTCATGAGTCCCCAGTCTAAGGGGGGAGGTATAAGCCACTCTAATGAAACTGAGTCCAGTAGCAAAGGCAGACTCCACCTTCCAGTCTTATGTGGAGGATATAGATCTTAGAAAGATCCAGTCTGATGGTGGAGACACAGCTCCAGCCTTTGGGGTTCAGTCAAGGTGTTGGAGAAGGCACAAAACAGTCTAATGGGATACGTGTAGGACCTGCCTTCAAGAGTGCCTGACTGATGAGAGAGACCCAATCTGATGGAGGAGTTGGTGAGCCCCAATCTGATGGAGGAGTCATGGGCCCTGCCTCAGGTTACCCCGTTTTGCGGGATCCACGGTCCAGCCATCTGAGGACATGCTGGCTGACCCTCCTCCTGTTTGCAGACTCCTGTGGATGACAAGGAGCCTCAGTCAGTGCCCAACATTGAGTACCTCCTGCCTAACATTGGCAGGACAGTGCCCCCTGGTGACCCAGGTTCAGGTGAGTGCAGGGGCTTGGGAATGGGTGGGAGTGGGGGTGGGATTCGCATTCCCAAGGGTCCCAGATGCCTGGCCAGACACCCAGCTTCCCTGCTCTGCCCCAGCGGGGCCCTTCCCTGCCCCCACCACAGAGACCCGGGCTGTGGCAGGGCCTTCTCCACTCTGGGGAGGTCTGGCTTGCCTGTGGGCCCGCTTCCTTGTCTGCTCAGCTGCCCCTCCCCGGGCTGGGTAGGGGCTTTGTTCGCCCTCCTTCACTGGTTTCCTTCCTGAGCTTTTTATTTCTCATGGGCTGTGTCCTTCTGGGCATGTTCCTCTTTTTAATTTTTCTTCCTTTTCTCCTTGCACCCCTCTGCCCCCTTCTCTCTTCTCCCTGTGCTCTCCTCCCGCCCCTGAACCCTGCCTCTCTCTTCTCCCCTTCCCCTCCTCCAGCGGACCTGTTGGAGATTTAAAGGGTACAGTGTGGCATTTGCGGCCTCGGTCACTAACAGTGGCGGGTGATTATAAGAAGGCTGGGCAGGCCCGAGGGGCAGGCAGAAAGGTCCCGGGCTGTGAGCACCTCACCCTTGACATACCGGCTACCCCCGCTTGTGAACAACATACTCCCACCCTAGCCCTCCCATCTGAAAGCCCCTTCTCAGGAGGAAGGAGGCATTTGTCGGAGCCAGATCCTGTCCCCTTGCCGGGAAGTCTGGGCACCGCATGCATGACTGCTCCCTCACCTCTGCTGCGGTCCCCAGACTCTGGGCTTTTCTCTGTGCTGAACCCGGTCACCTCCGGTTATCTGGACAGGGGGAGGCTTGGCTGGTAGGGGGACCCAGCCTGTCGGGACACGAGTGATGTCACCCTCAGAAGCCTCTCTATAACTGCAGCTCCTGCCGTGGTGGGCTCCGAGGGCTGACTCTTCCCGCTTCTGAAACCAGAGCCCCTGGTCACTCAGCCCCTAAGTCCTGTTTCAGGGCCGTAGACTCTCGTAGCAGAGCAGCCCAGAGCAGCCCCTCGGCCCAAGGCATTAACTTCTCCCGCCCTGTGGGCGGGCCGCCCTTCGTATTCTGACGGCTCCTGTCTCTGACAGAGGCCTAGCGCAGCACCCCTAGTTACAAGAGGCAGGCTGAGGAGGGAGCCAGGGGACAAGGTGGGTGGGGATGGCAGAGAGGAGCCCCCTGTTTCTTCTAATCACCTGCTGCCGCTCCCCTGCCTCGTGTGTGTCACTGTGTGGTTGGCCATCTGCTCCTCTCACCGTGTGCAGGGGAGGGGTGGGGAGGAGGACTCACTTGCTTGCCAGAGAGTGTGGATTAACTGTGCCTGCCCACTGCCCCGTCAGACCCCGGGAGGTCCTTAGATCAGCCTACCCCCTCCCCGGTCCTGGAGAGGACACTGCCAGGATTTGGTTGTGGTTCCTTCTCCACCCCCAGTGATCTTAAAGGAGCGGGACCCCAGTCCTACTGATGTAATGATTTTACTCGTTCTCGTAACTCTGGTGATAAACAGGGCCTTGCCCCCGGGAAGGCAGATGGACGAGGAGTCTGGAGGCAGAGCCTATCAAGGCCCTAGTCACCAGCGCGCTCTGCCTCCTGGGTCCCACCTACTTGGTGTCTGCCCCTCGACGCCATCATTCACAGGGTCCCTCTTCTTCCTCCTGTCCCAGAAGTGGGGGGGGGGGGGTGGTGAGGGTGGAGGTAGGGCGCCCCCTTGTCTGTGCACTGTGTGGTCTCCATTTCCCCAGAGCATCTGTGATTCGCTGTGTTTCATTGTGGTTTCCGTGGACTGCGTCTGATATTTGGCATTTTCTCTCTAGTGCTTCAGAGTAACAGGGACAGGAGGGGAGGGGAGAGGACCTAGGCCCAAAGAGAAGCCCTCCTTGCCCTTGACCCTGACAAATGAGGGTCTCACAACTGGCAGCCTGACGTCACTTCCTACCTCGAAAGGAAGTGGTGATTGCCATCAATACCGTCCCTGGGCCATGGGAAATGACACCAGAAGCCCATCACACTCCCAACACCTGGGGAGAGCTCAGGTGTCTGATCTCCCTGGTTCCTGAAGCCTCCGGGGAGAGGGAATCGTGTGCACAAGGCAGCCTTCTCCTGCCCCGATTTAACTTTCCTTTGTATTTCTCTCTCTCACCAACAGATTCTACCACCTGCAGTCCAGCCAAGTCCAAGGTAAGTGCCAAAGCAATTCTGAAGCTTTCTCCCTGCTTAAGCCGTCCCACTTCTTGATTTTGGCCAAGGGAATGGGGAGAATTGCCGCTGGATGCTGAGAAAGTTGCTGGTCACAGGGAAGGAAAGCAGGAGGTACTGTGCGTACCGTGGTAAGCAGAGAAGTCACTCACCGTGGCCGTGCTGGGTGAGGCATCTGGTGGAATAGAAGGATCCGGCCTGGGAGTTAGGTGGCCAGGTGGCCAGGGGCAGTGTTCCCAGTGGCTAAAAGCGCACAGTCTGCGGCGCCTGGGTGGCTCGGTCGGTTAAGGGTCCGACTCTTGATTTCGGCTCAGGTCATGATCTCACGGCTCATGAGATCGAGGCCCATGTTGGGTTCCGTGCTGTTAGCACCAGCTTGGGATTCTCTGTCTCCCTCTCTCTCTGCCCCTCCCCCCACTCGCCCGCTCTCTCAAAATAAATAATTTAAAAATTAAAAAAAAAAAAAAAAAAAAAAAAGCACAGACAGTCCTGGGTCTGAGTCCTGCCTCCACCACTTAGCTTCAGGACATCAGGGAAGTTGTTTAACCCCTTTCTGATCCTCAGCTGCTCACCTGTCAATGAAGTGTAATATCTCTTCTTATAACCACAAGTATGTCTGCTGTACTTAATATTCTTTTTGGAGGGCCCAAAGCAGGCAGAAGGCAGGAAATAACAAGGATAAGAGGATAAATCAATGAAATTGAAAACAACTGAGAAAATCAATGAGCCTGAAGCTGGTGTTTTGAACCAGCTCTCACAGCCAGCTACTCGCCGTCCAGGGCCTGCCCTCCGAGACAGAACCCATTAGGCAAGGATGTAGAGCTTGATGGCCAAGGGGGTTGGTGTCTTAGCTCTGGCCTGCCATAACAAAATGCCACAGACTGGATGGCTTAAACGAGAGAAATTTCTTTTCTCACAGTTCTTTTATTATCATATATTTTTTCATGTTTATTTACTTTTGAGAGAGACAGAGACCGAATGTCTCTCGAGAGCGGGCCAGGGGCAGAGACAGGGAGACACAGAATCCGAAGCAGGCTCCGGGCTCTGAGCTGTCAGCACAGAGCTCGACTCGGGGCTCGAACTCATGAACTGTGAGATCATGACCTGAGCTGAAGTCGGACGCTTCACCGACTGAGCCGCCCAGGCGCCCCATTTTTTCTCACAGTTCTTGAGGCTAGATGTCCAAGATCAAGGGGTCAGCATGGTCAGTTTCTGGTGAGAGGTCTCTTTCTGTCTTGTACATGGCCGCCTTCCTGCTGTGTCCTCATACAGCAAAGAGAGATTACAATAGAGAAAGCTCTCCGGTGTCTCTTTTTATAAGAGCACTAATGCCACCACAAGGGCATGACCTCATTACCTCCCAAAGGCCCCATCTCCAAATACTATCCCACTGAGGGGTAGGGCGTCAGCATACGAATTTGAGGAAGGGGACACAATTCTGTTCATGGTAGTGGGTGAAATCACTAAACTCTGGTGATTGAACTGGACTCATGTCTGTCCGGGTCTCTAAGCACTGGCCAGGTCCCAGCGAGCCCAGTGTGCCTGACAGGCAGTGTGCCTGGGGGGATGGGGAGCTCACTCCGTCATAAGACTTCTACGGCAGGGAGCAAGTTCATTATACTGACCTGAATCTAGCCCACCCATCGCTCCTGCTAGCCCCCTGGTTTCCCGTAGCCTCTCCTGGGCTGACACCTTGGCCTTTATGTGAATGTACCGACCTCTACATTCCTGGAAGTGACCATTATGACTGCTCTGCTTCTGTAACTAGCTGGGATGAGAGGATAATTTGATCAGATGGTCCTAGTGGCCTCACAAGCGCCTCAGAGAGCACTGGCCAGAAAAGACCGTGGCACTGGCTACCCTGTGCCTCAGGTTGATCAGAGCAGAACTGCCAGATCGCACAACTCCGGGGATTGCCTTCTGGAGCCGTGCAGCGCTGACCGCCGTGGCCCAGGAGCCGCATGCCTATGAATCCTGACTCCCTGACATGCTTCAGCTTCCTCAGAACCAGCTGATGTGAGAGAGAGTACATAGGATGCGGTGGCCACACGAGGCATCGCTGTGTCTCCATTATTATACCGTGGCTGAAACAGGAGGTGACCTGTGAGAAGGGGTCACAGGGCAGGTCATTCCAGCCCGGCAGGGGGACCAGTTTCAGCCTGTGCTTATGCACAGCCTTCTGTGTTGAGGGGACTGCATTCACCCATTTGTCCATTCACTTAACATTTATATATGTATGTTTGTATGTGGGGGGGGGGGGGCACGGGGCAGAGAGCGAAGGAAAGAGAGAATCCCAAGCAGGCTCTGTACTGTCAGTGTAGAGCCCGAAGCTGAGATTAAACTCATAGAGTGAGATCATGACCTGAGCCGAAATCAAGAGTTGGATGCTCAACGGACTGAGCCACCCAGGCGCCCCCAGTCACTTAACATTTAGTGAGCACCTGTTATGTGCGGGCACTGCACTAGGAGTCATGGACGCAAACACAAAGAGGCCACAGACCTTGCTCTCAAGGAACTCTGAGTGTGATACAGATGATGTGGAAACAGAGCTATTCCGATGGGAGAAGAACAGGTGTAGGTGTGTTTTCAAAGGGCCATGGGAGGGCTGAGAGGTGGCTGTACAGAGGATGCCATATTTGAGCTGGGCCTAGGAAGAGGGCTAAGAGCTCATATGGCACATAGGCGGCAGGGAGAGGGGGCGGTGGTGGCTCAGGGCAAGTCAGTGTGGCAGGTGGGCATCGCCAGAGTGAAGGGTGTGTTGCGGTTAGGGCAGGGAGGGCTGGCAAAGCGGGCAACAGGTTGTAAAGGGCCCTGTGTCTGGACTTCATCCTGGGGGAGGTGGGGGGCCCTGCAGAGTCTGGAGGTGATCAGATCCCTGCCTTGCCTACAAGGACTGACTGCTCTAGAGGAGGGGGGACTGGGGTAAGGCAAGGCTGGAGGCAGGGACCCCTATCAGGAGATGGCAGAAAGACCCAGAAAAGGCAGAGCAAGGGCCTGGACAGAGGATGGTGAGGATGAGCTGGCTTTGGGAGTCACTTCAGGAAAACTGAGAAGCAGCAGGGAAGGAGAAGGAGGCAGGGAACCACCTGAAGGTGGGGAACATGAATGCAGGTCGTTTGGGGCAGGTGTAGGGAGCCTAGTGTAGTAGTTGTAGATAGGTGAGTTTCAGGTGCCCACACTTTGCTAGAGATGGACTTGCCATTGGAAGAAGAGTTCTGGAGCTCAAGAGATAGTTTGGTGTTGGCCCGTGAGGGTCACCGAGGGCTCTGCTGGGGCATCACAGAAGGACAGGACCAGAAAACACTCACAGGACTTAGCCGTGACAGTGCAGCAGGAAGTTGCCCCGCGTGGGGTTGGAAATCACTGTTTGGGGCGCCTTCAATCCGATCGCTCAGATTGTTCAGAACTGGGTAGCCACTTCTGGCAGCCGAGCCGGCCAGATTGATGTGGGGTTGGGGACTGTGGGTGGGGGCCCCGGTGGGATGGCTGAAATGCAGTGGGCTGTAGTGTGGGAAGGGGAAGTGAACTTGGGCGGGTTGCCCTGGAGAGGCCCATACCTACTGCCTAGGTGGAAAGGCAGGTTTCCCAGGTGGGAGTGAGTGGAGATGGAGGGGGTAGAAGCCATGGGGGGAGGGACGTCCCTGCCAGGCTCTGGTGATTATAACCCGGGCTGGTATATATAAAATGGGTTCAAACTATCAAGTGTATTCACTGTTGAGAGGCTATTATCACCAGAGCTGTGTCTGCAAGGATTAATGTAGCGCTGGGCTTGGGGAATGGAGTGGAAGTTGGGGCGGAGGTGAGGGACCAGGCCCCAGCTCACAGGAAGGAGCCGAGAGTCTGGATTGAGACCAGAGTGGGTACGGAGGGGACTGGGATATTGAGGGGGGCCGCGTCCGCCGGCTCCCGGCTGGGTAGGGACGCTCCCACTGGGACAGCCATCAGGGAGGAAGGGCTTAGGACGCCGGCCCCGGGGAGTGGGGGAGGGGGGGAGCGGGGCCGGCTTGGGACCTGCCGCGGTGCGGGGGCGCCTCCTGCATGCTGACCTGTCTCCCGCGCAGGGCTCGTGGGCCCCCAAGAAGGAGCCGTACGCCCGGGAGATGCTGGCGATCTCCTTCATCTCGGCGGTCAACCGCAAGCGGAAGAAGCGGCGGGAGGCGCGGGGACTGGGCAGCAGCACCGACGACGACTCGGAGCAGGAGGCGCACAAGCCCGAGGCGGGGGCGCCGGCGCCTGGGGCGCGGGACCAGCCGGAGGGGCCGCTGCCGGGCGCAGCCGCCTCCGAGGCCCCGGGGCGCCTCAGCCCCCCGGCGGCGCCGGACGAGCGACCGGCCGCGGACACGCGCTCCATCGTCTCGGGCTACTCCACCCTGTCCACCATGGACCGCAGCGTGTGCTCGGGCGCCGGGGGCCGGCGGCCGGGCGCGGGGGACGAGGCGGACGACGAGCGGAGCGAGCTGAGCCACGTGGAGACGGACACGGAGGCCGGCGCGGGGCCCGGGGGGCGCCCGG